GCATATTTAGAGCCTTCTCAGAATTGCTGTCCAAATCACAAATCAAAATTTTTGTAGCTTTTTAAAGAAATGAAATTCAGGTCAGAAACTCAAACAGCAATTTTTAAAAGACATACATTTTAAACAGTGTACGAGGTATTGCGGCATTCCAAGCACAGTAGTTTTTGTTGACCCTGCCCCTTCTGCCCTCTTACTGACTTCTATGTCCCCACTCCCAGCCTCTCTCCCTTCTGGCTACCTGTGCTCTGTTTCCTCCCCTCAGTCTTCAACATCTCCCCACCCCCATTTTATGGTGACCCCTTTATGTTGTGTGACAAACACCCAGCCTCTCCCTCCCCATAAACATTAAAAACCAGAAAGTTAAGATCCATATATTAAGAAAGAACATACAACATTTATCTTTCTTAACCTGGGTTGCCTTGTTTTTTTTTTTTTCTATCTTTAAATTTTTATTTATTTATTTTTGTTTTTGAGACAGGGTTTCCCTGTGTATCTTTGGAGCTTGCCCTAGAATTAGCTCTTGTAGACCAATCTGGTCTCTAACTCACAGAGATCTGCCTGCCTTTACCTCCCAAAAAGATTGGGTTGCCTTGTCTAATAAAATACATTATTGTAAACTTCATTTCCTTTTATAGGAATAAAATCCCATTGTGTGTATGGACTGCATCTTCATTTTCCACTTGTCTGTTTGTTGGTGGACATGTGGACTGACTCCATTTCTTTATATTGTATATAGAGTAGCAGTGAACATGGATGTGTTTGGTGTGAACAGGGCAGCAGTGAGCATGGATGTGTTTGGTGTGAACAGAGCTGCAATGAGCATGGATGTGTTCAGTGTGTGTTCAAGACTGATATGATTTGGGTCAACAGGTAGTTCTGCTTTTAATTTTTTGGAAACTGGTTAGCAAAATTACTTCACCAGTTTACACTTGTACCAGGTGTAAATACATTTCTTCCACACATCCTCAAAAGCATTTATTGTCACTGGTTTTCTTGGTGATAGCCATTCTGACTGGGTTGTAATAGACTCTCAAAGTAGTTTTAATATATATTTCCCTTATAGTTAATAATATCAAACAGTTTAAAAAACATTGGCCACTTTTGTTTCTACTTTAGATAAATATTTCTTTAAGCCAATTTACTGATTCACAATGTGTTTTGTGTGTGTATGTTCAACTTTGTAATTTGTGTGTATGTGCGTGTGCATGCGTGTGCTTGTGTGCGCATGTGTGCATCTGTGTGTGTGTGCAAGCACATATGTGTGGAAGTGATGACAGACTTTGGGTGTTGATTCCTCCCTTTTTACCTTGTCTGAGGCAGAACCCCTTCCCCACTGAGTGGTCCAGGCTGCACTTTTAGCTTCTGGAGATTGCCCATCTCCGTCTCCTGCAGGGATGCTCTGGGACTGTGGCCAGCTTCCATGTGGCTCTGTGGATCCAGGCTCAGGCCGTCTGCCTTGTGTGGCAAATGCTTTTCCCCACTGATCCATCTCCACAGACCCTTAGTTCTTTGTATTATGTATTCTAAACATTAACCCCATATCTGAAGCGCAGCAAGCAAACACTCTCTCCCATTCTGTGTTCCCCTCTGCTATAGTGTCCGCTGCTTCAGACGGCAGCCTTTAAAATCAAATATTCCAACACAACACGGTGCAGAGACATACACTGCTGTGATGTGTGCTGAGGGATGACAGCAGGGAAACACTTAAACTCTTTGTTTTCCAGATTTAAGTGACTATGTCTCTGTAGGTGCAGAACAACTTATATGTGCAATAAAAATGAGGCAGTCCATAAAATACATTCCTGAGGCCAAGCCAATGTGTTTCAGGCAGTTTCTTGGTGTGGCAGAGTGGTGGCGTGTGCAGTGCACAGAGCACACATGTGTTCAGGACAAGTCTGCAGCAAGGCTGAACGGCCATACCCCGTTGAGTACTGCCAGAGACCATGTGGGTCCTCAGTGTGCCTGATTTCGAGTGCCGAGCATGACGATGTCCACGGGCCAGGAAGCTCTGTCTGAAGAAGCCTGCTTACCTTTCGTGGGCCATAGAACCCTGAAAGAATCTGCCAAATCTGTTGTTGTCCCAGAAAACAGATCTCTCAACCCTGCGCCCAAGGGTGTGTGAATACACACAGAGGTTTTCAAGCAGTTTCAATAGTTTCTATTTGTTTCTATGAAGCTCTAAAGCCCTAACTTGACTCCCACACACAGATTCCATAGAGGGAGGCTGGTCAGCCAGACCTGACTGCATGCCTCTGAGCTCTTACAGCCAGCTGCTCTTTCAAAGGCCCAAGTTCTTAAACCTAGCATTATTTGTGGTACAAATAGCAGTTGGGCCCTAACTAGTGAACTTATATAGTCACTTGGAAGAAGAAACATTAAGTTCTGATTTCTTCGCCTGTGCTTGGTTTTGTTTGTGTGACACAATATCAACTCTGGAGGGTCAGGGCCCACATCTTAGGGACGGGAGGAGTCTGCCACCTTCCCCTCACCTCTGCCTCCTGGCCAGGAGACCCTGCTGCGTTCTAGTCGATGACCTTCACAGTAGCCAGAGAGGGGGAAGACACTGAGGGTTCCTGGTCAAGCTGGTCTGAGAGGGAGACTGTGCATGCCGGATGTGACAAATCCAACACCGTCCACCCCCCAAACCCCCCAGTCACTCAGATCTGGCGCTGTGGTAGGATGGGCCCTGTGGGTGGTGGAATGCCTCTGTAGCTTGGAGGTGGGCGTCAGAAGCCTGTGAGTTACGCTCTACTGAATCATCTCAGCTCTGGCATGGATCTGAGAGAGAGCAGTGCCCAGGCTGTTTGCACACTCACACCAGCTCCTGGCTGTGTTGTTTCCCATAGTCAGATTACCCTCCATTTTGGTCTTTGTCTCCTGAAGTTCCCAGCGCTTGCTGAAGAGCCTGGTCCTAGGTCAGCGCCAGCATCGTTTGGTCTTGTGGCTGGTATTGCTCTTGCTTCTTGGCTACCTACTCTTTCTTGGGTTATTATCCAGGCCTCAGCTGCCTCATCTGCCCCCAGTGCCACTCTGTCCCATCCCTGCACCCAGAGTTTTGTTCAGAAATTTCCATCCATCAGGGAAATCCACAACTGGCCAAAATGACTGACCCTGTGGTATCCACCTACAGTACCCAAGGCTCAAGGAGCCCCAGGGAAGAAGAAAACCAGAAGGATTATAAGAGTCAGAGGACCAGGGCTTGTCTGCTGAGAGGTAGTCTCTTCTGTTTTTGACAGGGAGCTGTACCTGTGAAATCATATTGACAGTCATCTAAGCAATACCTCCAAAATGACAACAACTTGTCATCTCACAGGGCTCCTTCCCTACAGGCAGTCAGTGATGGGTGAGAGTCTCCAGAGAGGATCCCCCTGAGAGATTATCCAGTCCTGAATGGTCAGCCCTAAACACATAGATGTATGAGCAAAGCTAACTGGACTCAGTAGGTTGTTTTTTTTTATATGCACATCTGTGTGGAAGAAGAGGTCATACATTTTAGAGGACTTTTTGGGGCACGAGAGGAATTGTGGGGTGGTGGGGCGTGGGAAGGGTAGAGCCGATGTAAAAACAGTACACAGGTATGAAATTCTCAAGAGAAATGTTTCTTCTGTTCTTGTAATTCCTGTTTATAACCTCACAGGGGCGTTGCCCTTTAGATGAAGCTCCTTTGTACGATGTATAGGATTCTGCTAGCTATGGCCATGTGTACCTTTCTCTAGTATGATGTGTAGGACTCTATCAGCTATGGCCATGGTTCTAGCATGATGTATGGGGTTCTACCAGCTGTGGCCATGGGCACTTTCTCTAGTGTGATGTGTAGGACTCTGCCAGCTGTGGCCATGGGCACCTTTCTCTAGTGTGATGTGTAGGACTCTGCCAGCTGTGGCCATGGGCACTTTCTCTAGTGTGATGTGTAGGACTCTGCCAGCTGTGGCCATGGGCACCTTTCTCTAGCTTCCTCCCTCACACTGTACACTGTCCCAGCCACACTGGCCTCTCACTGTCCTTTGGATACAGTATCATCTTGGATCCTTTCTCCTTTACACTTAGCCCACATCCACCCCTCCTTCCCACATTTGCTGTCTCGGGAGCATCTCTTCACCCTGTCACCCCCAGATAAATGTGCTCTCCCCTGGGAGGCCTCGCTATCGCTCCCAGGTTCGGTCTATTGTTTCTTCTCTGTGTTTCTGGAACTCAGGACGGCATGGTACTAAAAGCTGTGAATTTTCAAGTCAGATTCCCTTTCAACCACCTCAGCCCTTTAGATGTATGAGCACAACAAGATGAAGGGTCTGCCTTCCCGGACCTTGTTTTTCTCTCTGAAAGAGGAGGGTAATATTACAAACAGCACACGTTTCTGTGGAGTCTGGAAGAGGCAAGAATTTGAAGTGCTACACTCAGAGTTGACCACAGTTCCCACTCAACAAGTACTCACTTTCCATGTTGTCAGGGTGGGTTGTGCATATTTATATTCCTCTCATGAGGCTTGCCCTCCTTCAGGGCCGGTGAAGAGTGTGCTCGCCATATCGGGTCTTGGATGCAGTCGTCAGTAAGACTCGCTCCAGGCCTTGTCTACAGAATGAGTGACAGAACACAGAACGACTATAGTCGGTTTAGTTATTTATTGTTTAAATTTTTTCTTATTTTACATATCGATCCCAGTTCCCTCTCCCTCCCACCCTCCCATGGCCCCCACAGAATCCCCCATCCCAACCCCCATCCACTCCCCAGGGAGGGTGAGGCCTTCCGCGAGGGATCATCAAAGTCTGTCAAGTCATTTGCAGTAGGGCCCAGGCCCTCCCCACTGTTTCTAGGGTAAGGGAGCATCCGTCCATGGGGAATGTGCTCCTGAAGTCTGTTCCTGCACCAGGGATACATCCTGGTTCCACTGTCAGGGTCATTATGACCTTGATGTCCGTGCCCCATTCTCTCTGTCTGGCAGTTTCCAGGACAGCACAGGAAGCAAACTGGCCACAGGCGTCCAATCCGTGTCCTTCCTACAGGTGACATGTCAGAGAGCAAAGCCAAGAAGATTGAGATCAAGGACGTGGATGGGCAGACGCTCAGTAAGCTGATTGACTACATCTACACTGCAGAGATCGAGGTGACGGAGGAGAACGTACAGGTAATCTTGGCCAGTGGCCCAGGGCCGCACACTCTGTGCCTGCCATTTAACGCTGTCAGCTCCTCAGGCGTCACTAAAGAGGGAAGCAAGCTGCAGGGTTAAGCCCCCTGACTTTTGTCACATGGTCAACCAGTGGACCGGCTGGCCCCAAGTGTCCATGTCTGGCCTAAGTAGCTGTGCTTTTCAGCATTGGGTCACACAAGAGCTCTGTGTGAGCCCGGCCCAGGGGTGAGGAGTTTTAGCTCACGTTGTGTTTTGCTTGTGGAGGAAGAGCCAGCTTGGCGATCCCTCTTCTCTCCAGGTTAACCTAGGGCGCGAGAGGCTGTGTAGTGAGACACCCACCCGTCCGCACCTGTCGCACCGACCACACCCACTGGGGCGTGGGGACAGGTGGGTTCTAGGTCTGGGGTCCTGGACCCCAGCTTGATCTCTTACTTCCTGGTCTGGTTGCGGAGAGCATGGGGGTGGGGTGGGGCGGTGGCATCCTTGGAGCCGGAACCCACAGCGGTCATCTGCTTCTGGTGTAAGTGATTTCTCCCCGAATAAACATCAGTCAGCCTGTATCGTGTCCCAGAATCTTATCTCCCACGCAATAAGGCTGCTAATGTTTCTTATCTTCTAGCTTTGGTCGTGTAAAGGCCCTGAACTCGGGGATGCAGTCGCAGAGTGTGTGGTTATGATGTACTGTGTGCCTTTCCCCTCTTCCCAAGCCCTGCCTGGCCCTCAGCCATCTGAGGCCTGGGAAAGAGAAGTCAGTGAAGACAAAGGGGACCCAAGAGAGGACACCATATTGTGCTCCAGCTGGGGAGACAATGGGGAGGCGCCCCTGGCCTCCATAGATCATGGGGCTAAACAGACAGGGATGCATTCTTTTGCTCTGACCATTTAACAAGACTAATGGAATATAAGTGTCTTGAAGGGTATTGTTGTTGTTGTTGTTTAGTTTTGCTTTTTGGCTGTTTTGTTTTTGCACAAAGCCACCTAATTTGCCTGAGGCAAGCACCTCTTGTTGGTCAAGATGCCCGCTTCCCCTGGTTACAGACACCACATTGGTTGGCGCTGTCTGAGAGGCTGCACTGGAAATTACTTGTTCTTCCCATGCAGTCCCAGTGTCCCAATTACCCGCCATACCCTTTGTTGGGTACCTGTAGATGTAACAGCACTGGTCCCCTGTGTAGACCGGGCTGGCCTTGAACCCATAGAGATCCACCTGCCTCTGTTTCTTGAACTGGGATTAAAGGCGTGGCTCAACATACATTTACCCAACGTAAAATGTGTAATTTGGATCATAAGGAAAGGTTCTGGTGTGTTCTTACTTCCTGGCAGGGATAAGATGATAACAGCAAGGAGGTATAATAATGAATAATAATTTATTAATAATATACTAGTTAAGAAATGAACACATTATTTTATAAATAAAAATAAGGGATCAATCAGTAAGAAGGCTGCTTTAAGAGCCACCGATATATATACATATATATCTATCTTTATATATTTTACCTTTATATCTATATATGAATTTATTAAGGGTTGCTATGGGGAAAACAGACTCAGATACAGGGACAAGGTGAAACCGGTTGCAAAGTCCTCCCATTCTGCCCGAGGGAGCTGGGAACCAGACACACCCTGCTTCATGCCACCTGACCCAGTCTTCACAACCCAAGAGCGCCATGACCTCTGTCTCTCTCCCCTCAAGAGGTCACATCTGCAGGCAGGCAGGAAGCCACGTCCTAAGGCTGGTACCCTGAAGCTATTGGCGCAATGAATTCCCGCGGCAGAAGGCAGTCTTTACAACTCTAAGCTAGAGCTGCTCTCTCTGGCTCAGACGTGTGTGTGTGTGTGTGTGTGTGTGTGTGTGTGTGTGTGTGTGTGTGTGTGTTAAGGCGGATAAAGGAGCTACCAGAGCCAGGGAACTCTGTAGAAAGTGACTTTGCCCAGGAGGGGGGTGGGGGAAGGGCAGAGTGGAAGTAGCGATCTGTGGCCCTCCTCCTGCAGGACCTCACTTCAGCTCTTCCCAGCGGTGACTGCTGGACTGTTGATGTGAGGTTTCTGACCCAGCAGGTCCCGCCTCTGCCCTTCTCAGCCCCACATGAACACAGGAACGCTACATTAGTTATAAAACTGTTGGCCGGTGGCTTGGGCTTCTTATTGGCTAGCTCTGTCTTAATTATTAGCCCATTTCTATAAATCTATGCATTTGCACGTGGTCATGGCTTACCGGAGAAGGGTCCGGACTCGTTACTCCTTTGGCGTGCTGCATGGCGACTTGTCTGCCTACGTTTCCCAGAATTCTCCTCATCTCCTGGCCCCGCCTGTCCTTCCTGCCTCATTGGCCACAGTGTTTTATCCATCAGCCAACAAGAGAAATGCATACACAGAAGGACTTTCCCGTCACTGGGGGAGCCATGGAGTCCCTGTGCTTGAACATAGCTTCTCATTCCCCATGCCCTGATACCCTGCTTCAAGTTCAGCCTCCTCCACAGGGCAGTCTCCTGTCCACCCCACAGAGCACCCACAAAAGAGGCATTCACAGACGGACCGTGTCCCACCCCCAGCGACCCGATCGCTCTGTGCCTCATCTTCCCAGCGTCTTCCTTTCATCAGTATGGGCGTGCTAGTATCATTTAACCCGACAGAGCTGGTGTGAGGAGTAAGCATGCTGACGTAGGCCTTAGAGCCAGGCCTGGCGCACGGTACATATTATCGCTTAAAGCAGGGAGATATGGTGACATTACCCATACTCAGAAGGCACTGGCTGCTGATGGGGGACTGAGGACAGTGGCCAGGTGGTCAAGTAGCCAGGTAGCAGGCAGGGGTCTTGGTGAAGGGTGTTGGGGGGTGACCCCATCTGCTCTAGAAGCATCTGGGAATTCCTCCAGGTAGGAGCATAGTTTGGGATACCTCTTGGAGTTTGCCCAGAATGCTTGGCATGGACAGAGGCCTGGCCCAGACACCGCTATTCTTCTGAGGAGAAGGGCCCTTGGCGATCTTCTGAGTAGCTAGGGGTGAAGAGAAACGGGCTGGAAGGTACAAGGCCAGGGGTTGCCTAACTCCTCCTCCCCTGTGCGGGGCGGGGCATATCCCACATTTGATGGCCATTCAGCACCTTTTTTTTTTTTTTTTTTTTTTTTTTTTGAGCTGCCACCCTGTGCTGGCAGACAGAGTCTACAAAGAATTTCCTGTGACAGGTCGCTTCCCCAAGGAACAGCTGCTCTGTGGGCAGAGGCAGATGGTGGGCCTGGGTGGAGGCATCCAGGAGGAAGTAGTCGTGGCTGCCTGATGGGGATAAAGCGAGGCAGACCACACTCAGGAAATGTTTGGGCCAAACTCTGACGAAGTAGGGGGTGGTCTGGCTTGCCTCTTCTGTCCTTGTGACCCTCTCTTCCCCCAGGCTGAGTCCCCGAGGGAGGGACCTGCTGTCAGGGATTGGGGCTTGGTGGAATGGCCCTGAGAGTTAAATCCCCAGTGGCATCCCTATGGGGATGTGGCTCTTCCGTGGTGTCCAGGGCTCTGTCTGTCACTAATGCTGTTAGGACCCAGGATGTGCCAGCCCCTTCCACAATCCCTGTTTGAAGCCTGTGCACGGAAAGGGCTTAGTAACCCGGGTCACGTGGCCCTGGCTCCCTCTGGCTAACCTTTGTGGCTCTGCTGAACTCATCCCCCATTAAGTGAGTGATCCGAGCCTTGCTTTCTGCTCCTGGTTAGTTATAATCGTAACTGACAGTGGCTGTGCACTCTGCGTAGGGCCCTGCTCTCCGCTATAAGCCTGTGGCCGCCTGATTCTCACAAGCTGCTATGGTGCTACTGTGATGTTGAGACGGAGAAACCCAGGTTGCCTTCCTCAGCTGCGGGCCCAGAATTAAAAGTGACACTTTGATGACCGTGCTGACCTGTCATCTGCAGGTTGTTTGGGCTGTTCTGCTCTCCCTTCCCCTCAGCGGGCTCAGTTGGCCTGCACTGACTCTGGGGTGCCCTCCTCAGTGTCTGGCCCTGCCCCCTCCCACACTCCCTGGATGCAGCTCCAGGACTAGGTGCTTTCTGAGGCAGGGCATTTCCTCTTGTTTTTGCAAAAGGAAGCAAAGCCTGTGACGGGAAATCCTCTGCTGTGCTTTCGTGTTATCAGAGGGAGAGAAAAAACAAGACGGGCCCAGCATGTGAAAAATGGAGGGTTGGCCATTCCAGGGTCTGTCAGGAATGAGGCAGGAAAGGCAAGCAAGGGGGAGCTTTTGACCCAGAGTAATCTCCCATGCTGATAGACAGTTCCTGCAGACTCCTCTTGCCAGGACTCGGTCTTGTGCCCCTCATGGCCAAGGGGACCATCCTTTGGCTCTACCCCACAGTCCACTTCAAAGCTGAGGGTGGAGCTGGACTCAGGAATAGAGAAGAAAAAATGCTCAAGTCTTGCAGATATGGAAGACAGGACTGACCAGTCACCTCAGACGTGTTTTCCTCTCATGCGTGTGCATGTGCATGTGCGTGTGTGTGTGTATGTGTATGTGTATATGCCTTTGTGTGCATGCATGTGTGCCTGTGTGTGCATGCATATGTGTGTGTGTGCATGTGTATGTGCGTGTGTGCACGTGCACGTGTGTGTATGTGCCTGTGTGTACGTGTGTATGCGCGTGTGTATGTGTGTGCACACTTGTGTACGTGTATGTGCGTGTGTGCATGCGTGTGTGCCCATGTATGTGTGCCTGTGTGTGTGTGCACACATGTGTGTATGTGCCTGTGTGTGCATGTGTGTGTGTGTGTGCCCATGTATGTGTGTATGTGTGTGTCCCTGTCTGATGTGGCCTCAGTCTATCTCTGAACAACAGCGCGTGGGAGATGGCTAATCTCTTGCTCTCCCCATCCTCTGCTCTATATTCTGACCCATTTCCACTTTTCCTTCCTGCCTGAGTGAAGTTGGGGGGGGGGGAGAACAGGGCCCTTGAGTGTGAGATCAAAGAGTATAGAAGCCATTAGAGAAATCAGCAGCCCGCCCATTCATTGTGGCCACAGACAGGTGGGAGTCTCATTATTTTCGTGTATACTAGGTGGGATCTGTGAACAGTAGGGAAGTTGAAAGTTATGTGGGTAGTCTTCCCACAGACGTGCTAAGTGCCGAGAATGTAAGCGAAGGCACGTGCTCAGGAAATAATTTGTTATTGTATTTCTCGAGCTGTCTGTCGTGAGCTTGAGAACTCAAGCACTACACTGTCCTTTCTCCCTAGAGAGAAGGAGCCCGAGAGAGGAGTCCCGGGCATGGTCTCGCTGGGGCTTGGCAGGCCATGCAGTCTGGGAATAGGCAGGAAGCTCAGATACCTTGAGAGTCACGGGTAAGGTGGAATCCTGTCCTAACACGGACACTTGTCCCGGGTTGCCAAGAACTGAGGGGTCCCCTGGGGCTTGTTCTAAAACTAGCAGGGGGATTGGTCTAAAATGCTATGGGGGTCACTGGGTGTAGAACCTTCCGTTCCCAAAGTGTATCAGCAAGGACAGCTAATTGGCCTCCACCTCACCGGCAGGCACTGACTAATCTGGTCTTTGAATCTGTGTGGCCAGGCTGAGCGGCCCACACAGGTTAATTGAGTTTTCCAATTTATGGCTGCTTAGTGGGCAGAGGCTGCGTGGTGGGGATGGGGCTCCCGTGGTTAGACTTGGGCTGTAGTTGGGTTCACCTACGTTTTAAACCTCTGAGACGAAGGAGATTTTTGTCTTTCTCTTCTTCAGAAATGAATCAGTGGCCAGAAAACAGCAAGGATACTGTGCTAATTTAACCCAGCCTTGCTGGGGACACAGCAGGTGGGAGGGGACAGCAGCAGGTGGCTGGCAGGAGTGGCTTTTCTGGGAGGAGGCCAAGCTGTTCATGGGCAGGGTTCTTCCTGGAGAGGACATGCCTGGCCTGCCCGTACACAGTGGATTCTTGGGTGGGCCTTCGATGCGTTTGGGAAGGGGTGACAAATGGGACTCAACTGTCCTTCCACAGCACAGGAAGTGCTGTGATGTCCCTCAGTCCCAGTGGACCAGGACAGTTGGTCACCCCTTGTGGAAGGACGAGGCCCAGGGGTGATGAGTGTGACATTGTTTCGGGCCTAAGCCAGTAGAGGTCATAGGAATCTATATGGAGGATGTGGGGATGCTTTGGGAGAAGATCAGCATTTAAATTGTCTATCATCTATTTCTTTCTTTCTATCTATCTATCTATCTATCTATCTATCTATCTATCTATCATCTATCTATTATCTATCATCTATCTATCTATCTATCTATCATCTATCATCTGTCTATCTATCATCTGTATCTATCATCTATCTATCAATCAATCATCTATCATCTATCTGTCTATCATTTATCTATTATCTATCTATCACTTATCTAATATCTATCTATCATCTGTCTATATCTATCTATCTATCTATCTATCATCTATTATCTATTATCTATCTATCATCTATCTATCTATCACTTATCTATTATCTATCATCTGTCTATCTATCACTTATCTATTATTTTTCTATCTATCATCTGTCTATCTATCATCTATCATCTGTCTATCTATATCTATCTATCTATCTATCTATCTATCTATCTATCTTCTATCTACCTATCATCAATCTACCATCTATCTATCTGTAAAGCCCAGAATAAAGAAAAGAACAGTAGACATGCCTGCCTGCTGCCATATTCTTCTTGGGCAAGCCACTGTGGATGGGAACGGCTGGAGTTGGTCTGGCTCAGCCTCTCTCCCTGACATTGGGGGAGCAGCTGTGAGGAAGGACCTGGGTCCAGGGAATTGCTGTGAGGAACTGGTGCTGGGCCCTGCAAGTTACAGAAGCTTAAGTCAATGGTTTGCTTCCCCCTAAGTTTCTTTTTGGTAAATTATCCTGGCTACTTGCCCCTTCCACAGAGTGAGTGGGACAGCAGAGTCCAGGGGAGGCATGACTTTTATCTTGTTTTTATGATCTAGAGGGCAGGTTTGGGCAGCCATGGGAAGCTTGACAGGGGTTGGTAGTGAGTGCCCAGCAGGCCTGCTCAAGCCAGTCTCTTCTGGATCTTAGGAAAAACATTGTGCACACACCCAAGCAAGAACTATTCTGTTTTCCATGATGCAGAATAAGTAAGTGTCCTGTGACTTTTAAAAAGAAAACCCAGCTCTGCTCTCGGTCAGTTGATTAGCACCATAGAAGTAAGATTTGGTTGTTTTGCCAACTATTGAATCTTAGAGCCTTGACCAGAGCCCGCACATAAATGCTCGGCGGTCAGGTGGAATGGGCTGGTTGGTGAGCAACCCAGCAAGTACCTTTCTGAGTGCGGGCAGCACACCTAAGCTTGCAGGGAAGTGGTTCTCAGACTTGGGTAGCTAAAGCAACATTCGAGGGAACCTTCAACATCTCACCATGCCCAGGTCATTCCTGTTGTGTAACACTATTCCAGGGGAGATGCAAACAAACACCTACTTGCCCCAGACAGAGAACGGACAACAGACCAAAGTACAGATGCCACCAAAGTCTAACGTGGTAAAAAGCAATGAGTTCTATTGGGGTCACTTACAGCAGCAGAAATGACTCAAGGACAGCTACACCACCAAAGCCCACCCTAGCATGGGTGACAGCTCACAAAGCTGGGAAGCTGGAGCACACTGCATTATCTGTGTTAGGTAGCTCAATAGGGTGGAGTCCTCTGCATGTAGCTCAGTTGGTCTGGACATCTTCCAGGAAGCTCTGCTGGCCTCCCCTTCCTGTGGGCAGCATAGCTTGCTATGGAATGTCTCTCCCTGGTCCTTATGCTTATACAAACCTGGGGAGGGAGGGCCCAGGGGATCTGGTAAGTTTCAGGGGCTTCCTGAAGCTGTTGAGTTGTTTGCGCTCTTAGCTTAAGAGCCCCCCTGAAGGGTGGGATGTTTCTCTTCCCCCTAGACCATCTGCTGTTTTACCTCTCTGCAGACATCTGTGCTGTATGCAACAAGCTTCCCTCCAAGATGGGAAGGTTTTAATCTCGGAGGAAACCACACAGACAGCTCACACCTACCCTAATCTCAGGACAGAACACCCAGGCATCAGGACTTATAATTCTGTGGGTTACACCAGTGTGTGACCAAGTACAAAGAGCCTCTGTGTATGCTGTACATGTGTTACACATGTGCTACACATGTGCACACATTTCGTCACATTGGGCGTGGCTCCCGTTCTAGCAGGTACAAGGTCACTTGAGTTCTTAGGAATGGATAGGTTCAGCCTGCCTTCCTGCTGAGTCTGTGCCTGCATTTTCCTAAGGTCTTGGGATGGAGACCACCCTGGGAGACTTTACAGGTTAGCCTGACACTGAGACCCCACTTGCGGCTTTGGTATTAAGGGTAGGGTAGCAGAAAGTGAGGCTGTAAAGCAGACTGGAAAGTTTGGACACTCGTCGAGAAGGCAATGGAGAGCCACGGGAGAATCTAGGGTGTAAGGCCCCAGAAGCATGATGGGGAGTGATTCTGGGGACGAGCCCCTGCAGTGGGACCAGGAGTCTCACAGTGTTACCTGGTCTTGCAGGTGCTGCTTCCGGCAGCCAGCTTGCTGCAGCTCATGGATGTTCGGCAGAACTGCTGCGACTTTCTGCAATCCCAGCTGCATCCCACCAATTGCCTGGGCATCCGCGCATTCGCAGACATGCACACTTGCACCGACCTCCTGCAGCAAGCTAACGCCTATGCGGGTAAGGCAGGGCGGCCGCATCTCCTCTGAGTTCATGGGTTCGGTCCCCTGGCCCTGTTGAGGACCCTCAGAGGTTTTGAGAACCGGTTTCTACTGCAGAGCAGCTATGATTTGGTTAGGGAGACAAAATCACAGGTAATTGACGATGGACAAGTTTTGTACACTGCCAGGTGGGAAATGGTTAATTTGTACGCGGACGGCATAGCCAACAGCGAAAGGTCTGAGAAGTTTTGGGAGCGTGTGTCAGCGTGCGTGTGAGAGAGTATGAAAGTGTGAATACGTATCTGAGTGAGTGTGGATGTGTGCATTTGTATGTGTGAACTTGTGTGTGTATGGGAGTAATGTGTGTTTGTGTGTGTAGCATGAACTGAGCTTAGGTTTGAAATACATTTTTTTGTTTGTTTGTTTGTTTAAGTGTGTTCCGGGCTCCCAGTGATTAACAAGCATCTTCTTTTCACACTGTCTCACCTCCCAGACTCATTGACTTTTAATCACACCTGTGACTCAGAACCGCAGAGGTAGAGAGCGCTTTCCTGAATGACGGTGTTCAGGTTTCACTTAGCAGGAGCCTGGCCAGGGCAAGCAACCACACAGATGCCCCACTGTAAGTGTCAGTATGGCCAGGGCACGATGCTGACTGCTGGGACATCTGTTCCCCTCTTTCTTGTCCTCTTCTGGCCTCTGTGGGCACGAGGCACACGCATTTCAAAATGCAGTGGCTGCAGAATGTTTGTCAGTTAAAACACATATGCATACATCCTATAGTGATACCCACCATTCTCCCCTGACATAGAAAGGAGACTTGTGGGCTTTTGTACCCTCCCCCACCCCGACAGGCAGGTAGATAGCTTGCCTCATACAGTAGATGTATTTTGTGAAGTTTATTACAATGGCATAAGGGCATGGAAATGTAATACCCAGAACCTACTAAGAAGGTTTATAACCTACGGAGCATGCTTTTTAATGTGCATAAGCGTTTGCCAGCTGGTATGTCTATGCATCACATGAGTGCCTGGTGCCCTTGAAGGACAAAAAGAAGAAAGCATCAGATCCCCTGGAACTGGAGTTACAGATGGCTGTGAGCCACCATGTGGATGCCTGGAACAGAACCTGGGTCTTCTAGAAGAGCAGCCAGTGCTCTTAATCTCTGAGCCATCTCTCAAGTCCATGAAACATATGTGTTCAGTGAAAGAGGACACACGCAAGGGCGCTACCTGAGCCTCACTCTGAGTGGAACTGCTCTGTCTCTCGAGGCCCTGCCAGTCACTTTTCCTGGAATGATCAGCGATGAGTTTTGTATTAGACTTGAAATAGTAACACTATGTAAGGGAAAGCTGCAGGGACAAGCTGGGGCAGGAGACATGTGAGGGTAAAGCCCAGATGGCTACAGACTGGGAGGGAGAAGGACCACAGACCCGCCTGCCCGTCTCCAAATGAGGGAAACCCACAACCAGGAGCCTCGAAATGGTCCCCTCCCCCAGGCGGCAAATGTGAGCCACCATGTGGGTGCTGGTACTGGGCCAGGTCTTCTGGCGGAGCAGCCAGTGCTCTAGGGCCACGGCCCACCTCACCAGCCTTTTATTTGACCTCATACAAATCTTAGAACCATGTCCATGTTCTTGAGTAAGGCTGCTCATTCTAATGTGTGTGTATGTATGTGTGTTTGTGTGTGTATGCTTATATGTATGTACATGTATGTGTGTGTATATATATGTGTGTGTGAGATATGGGCATGCCATGCTTAACTAGCACTTTGTTCATGAATAGTAATTCTTCCAGTTTTACTTTTATAGAACATACTCAGTCAGCATTAAATCTTGCATTTACTTGACTTTGGGTGGGGGCTCCTGGGTCCCATGGTGCATGCAGAGGTTAGCAAACAAAACAAAACAAAACAAACTCATGGGAGTCAGTTTTCTTCTGGACCCTGTGTGTTCTGGGGACCCAGCTCAGGTAGTCTGAGTGTGCTTGCTTTCTGGCCCTTGGCAAAGTAAGCATTCTCACACATAATATTTTTGGGTATACTTGGCAGGATATAATCTTGGTAGCAAAATGGGACCAAACAAAGCGTACATTTAAACTGATGTGGCTGGAGAGACAGTATAGCAGTAAGTACTTGCCTCGTGTGTGTGGGCCCTGAGTTTGATTCCCAGCTCTATGTCACGGACAGATAGACACTGCAAATTTTTCTCTTTCTAAAAGAAGAAGAAGAAAGAAAGAAAAAAGCCAGCTCTTGCTTTCTGTTAAGTCTCCAGCTTTCCAGGTGAGGGGAGAACCCAGGATGTGTGTGTTGGTAGTATCACCCACTATTCAGCAGACTGTTTGGTTCCCTGTGTGTGTGTATGTATGTGTGTGTATATGTGTGTGTGTGTATGTATGTGTGTGTGTCTCTGTGTGGTGTCTGTGTGGTGTGTATGTGTGTGTGTATGTGTGTGTATGTATGTGTATGTGTATGTGTGTGTGTCTGTGTGGTGTGTGTGTATGTATGTGTGTGTCTGTGTGGTGTGTGTGTGTGTGTCTGTGTGGTGTGTATGTGTATGTGTGGTGTGTATGTGTGTGTATGTGTATTTATGTGTATGTGTGTGTGTATGTATATGTGTGTATGTGTGTGTATATGTGTGTGTATGTGTGTGTGTCTTTGTGTGTATGTGTATGTGTGTGTATGTGTATGTATGCGTATATGTGTGTATATGTATGTGTTTGTGTATGTGTATTTATGTGTATGTGTGTGTGTCTGTGTGGTGTGTGTGTGTGTGTCTGTGTGGTGTGTATGTGTATTTATGTGTATGTGTGTGTATATGTATATGTATATGTGTGTATGTGTATGTATGCATATGTGTGTGTATATGTGTGTGTGTATGTGTGTGTGTATGTGTATTTATGTGTATGTGTGTGTATGTGTGTATGTGTATGTATGCGTATATGTGTGTATATGTGTGTGTATGTGTGTGTGTCTTTGTGTGTATGTGTATGTGTGTGTATGTATGTGTGTATATGTGTGTATATGTGTGTGTATGTGTATTTATGTGTATGTGTATATGTATATGTGTGTATATGTGTGTGCGTATGTGTGTATGTGTATGTATACGTATGTGTGTGTATATGTGTGTGTGTAAATGTGTGTGTGTATGTGTGTGTATATGTGTGTATGTGTGTGTATATATGTGTGTGTGTGTGTGTGTGTGTGTGTGTGTGTGTGTGTGTGTGACTGTCTGGTTTCCTGTTTGGAGTGACCCTGGCTGTTACAGCTGTAATGGTCCTTCCTGCTCCCTCTGGCCGCAGTTTTACTTGAAGGGCGATGCGCTGCAACTTCTGCTCTGATGCTGCCGTGTTATCCCGTGTGTGAGGAGAGTGGGCCCACATTTGACTGCTCTGCCCGCAGCTGACAGTACCCTCGTGCTCCTGGGTCACCGGAGGCTGGAGAAGGTCAAGTTCTGCACTCTGTTTCTTATCCCTCGTAATTGTGGCTGCCTGCTTAATCTTTAACCTCAGAGGCCAGGGTCGGGTTATGAGGACTTGGTTGTTTGGCGGTTAGGGGGCCATGTGCCTGGGCCATCAGTGGAGCTGCTTAGGGATTTTAATGGGGCTTCATTAAGGCAATGGCAATTAAAATTCTTTGGGTATGTTGTTTACGTCAACCTGCCAAAGCTGGGCTGAAACCCTCCAGCCACAGCATGGAAAAGCCATTTAGTTTCATGTGCTCATGAAGAGAAATGTCCCCCCTTTTGATTGATTAGGTCATTTGGTGAATGAGGTAATTAAATCAGGAGCTGAGAAGGTTTGCAAAGCACTTGATAAAGTGAACCCCGGCCCAGTGACACCCTCTTATGACTGGCTGCACCCCATTTGGCATGAAGAGAAGGTGGTGGCTGTGGAAGCTTCTACTGTTCTGAAAAGTCGCTTTGACCCAGACACAGCGCCTCAGTAGCACTGATGGCTGGGTAGTTTTTAAAGAGCTCATGGCAGCGTGTGTGTGTGTGTGTGTGTGTGTGTGTGTGTGTGTGTGTGTGTGTGTGTACTTATGTTAAGAGAAGCATGCATGTGTATGTTGGAGGGAACCCGGGACACAGGCTACATGGAGAGCATTTCCTGCCTTCTGTGGGGAGAGTGGAAGGAATGTTTGGAGTCTGAGGGCTCCTGGCTCTGCCCCTTCCGGGAAGAGGTCAGGGTGAGCTCTGTTACTTCCCTGTGGAAGCCTAGCTTTCTCCTTGGAGCAGAGAAATGGCCGGACTTAGGAAACCTGGCCTCTGCTCTCCAAAACCAGGACAATAAGGAACTGGGGTGTGTGTGTGGGGTGTCAGGTGGGAGGTGGGAGGGGAGGGGAGGGAGGTGGGAGGGGAGGGGAGTACCTAGACAGTTCTTTCCAAGTTTTCTTTCCCTGCCAAGTCCTTAGATTCTACTCAAGCCCTTTGGTGTCAGCCAGGAATCCCAGTGGCTGTGTCCAGGAGCTCAGCTGGTGGACATTCCTCACTGGCCTGGGGGTCCATGTCACCTCTCTAAATCAACCAAGTCACAGATGGGTTATGAGTTCCTTTATTCTGAGCGCGTAGCTTAGTTGGTCCAGAACAAAGGGCTGGTTCGTTTTATCCCATTAAGAGAGAAGGCTGGGCTTAGAGCTCGCTTGGGAGGTGGCTCCAAAGCCCGAGTTAAGCCATCCTAAAGAGTACATTGGAAGTGTGATAATAATTGTACGTTTGTGGGCATCAGCTTGGCTCTCTTTGTTTTTGGTTATGCTGCATTTGGTACATCATATGCTAACTGTTATGTAGTACTTGGAGGTTTTCAGCAAATGCAAGTTCTAGATGTTTGCTTATTTTAGTGCTCATAACACCTTTTACCAGACATCCTGTGAGAGCTGAGAGAATAGTAGCCCTAGGAGACTGAATACCTACCTACCTGTAAGACTAAAGTTTGCTGAATTCAGTGGAATGAATTTGAGGTCTGAGACCTTTCAGGACCATTGTCTCAGAGGGCACCCACAGCTGTGGCCAGGTAACTCCGTCAGAGCAGGACTGCTCACAGCTGAACTCTGTGACAGGGGAACAGGCTGGTAAACTCCATTTCCAATCCTTAAGGAATCCAAAGCAGACTAATACGCAATATTGTTTTTGAGTCTTAAAATATGAACAATTTGAAGTGTTTGGTTATATTTTTACCAACGAGGAGCTCAACGTCTGGAAAAAGTGACTTCTCTTTGCCACATCCTGCACCAGTATATTAAAGGTGTTGGGGTAGCTGTGCATGCCTGCCCTTGGGAGCCTGAGACAGGAGGATTGATAGATTAAGGCCAACCTTGGGCTACATAGCAAGGACCTGTGTCAAAACAACATCAGAGAACAACCAGCAGTAGTAACAATGAAATCTAAAAATGCAGTAAAAGTAATATAAGATACACTCAATTCAAAACAAAACAAACAAAAAAAAAATCAGGCAACTGTTAAGATAGAAGGTGATTTTTTGGAAAATACCTCCCAGAAGCTGAATGGGTGCTTTCTTGGGAGCATCATGGGAGAGGGTTAACTGGGGTCCACCGTTTTCTGGGGACATCCTTCTTCCCAGGAAGCTGAGTTTGGTGCCACATCTTGTTCCTGATTTTTTAAAATCTTGTTTCTTTTTAAAAATTAAAACAAAACAAAACAACGTGAATGTCTGCATATACAACTGTACACAACAGGCATGCAGTACCCACAGAGGCCAGCAGAGGGCACCAGGTCCCCTGGACCTGGAGCCGCCAAGCGGGTGCTGGGAGCTGAACCCAGGTCCTCTGCAGGGGAAGGCGGTGCTCTGACCACTGGGTGCCTCTCACGCCCTCTTAAGCCCAGTGTTTCTAAAGTGTTGCTAACAGAAAGGTGACTGGGGGTTGAAGACGAGCTAATGTCTCCTCGGACAGAATAGGGAAATAGTGCATCCCTCCTCTTTGCTTTCCGTCTTTCCTCTATTTCTTCCCCTCCCTTCCCATCCCTTCCCTTCCCTTTCCCCTTTCACATTTTATCCCCCCCCTTCTTATCTTAAGGCCTCAAGGGGCACAGCATCCATCACATAGGCTCTGTGGTCCTTGGGAGAAAATGGCTCCCAATTTTGTTACAAAATGTGATGCTGTTACCATGGCACGGATCTCTTTCCCCTGGATCCCTCTAGCATTCTCTGCTAGGGGAGGCGTGTGCTGTTCTTTGCTTTGAATATACAAGTGCATCTCTTGCTCATTTAGAACTCAGTTTCATCTCAGGCATAAGCACCTTCAGTTCTGAGAAGAGACTCTGCTCACAGCTATTAGAACGGCCTTGCACACCATCGTATCCTAGCCCCCATCCGGCTCAGGGGTGGCAACAAGCTGTTCTCCTCAGCACCCTCGACTCTCTTTCCTCTCATCCTGTACACGTCTGGGACCCTGCATCCAGGCCTTGGATGAGAAGCCTTCCCAAGCAGACACCACATTGTGTATGGCCTCCTAAGGCGGGTTTCAGTGGATGGTTCCTTCAGGGATGAGAAGCAGCCCACTGCAGCAGGAAGGGACCTAGGCTGACATCCCACACCACTCCTCAGGGAAAGAGGCAGGAGGCTGTCTGTCGCCTCCACTGATGTCTGGGCCGCTGGCTTGGTTCCCGATCCGTGGGGAACACGCAGTGTGGCCCTCCCCCAAGCCGGGTAGTACTCTTGGTCTCAGGTGACATAAGGAGATTATTTCTCCTCAGCCTCTTTGCCTCCCATTGTCTTCCGGCTCTTCATGTTTTCCATTTGCGGTGTTCTGTCCAGCAAAGCTGAGCATGGACGGCCAGAGGCCGGCTCTCCTGGAAGCTAGAGCAGCAAAGGCCCACAGTTGTCCCCATCACCGAGAGCCTCACATGCCGGTTTGTCCTGTGTACCATCGCTGAGTTCCAGGGATGGCAGTCACCAGCACAGTGATGTGAACAGGCTGACCACTTTTATCCAGGGGAAAAAAAGAAAAACAGGTTTATAAATCCATATCTGAGGATAAAACGTTAACATGTGGGCAATCCAGATGAAGGTAGGAATTCATACGGAGCTTACTAGGACTGAGATTTTTCTCAAACTAAAATTAAAAATAAGGTTTGTAAGAAATGCTTTGAGCAGCGGCTTTACAAGCTCAGTGGTTAAGGGTGCTCACTGTTCTTGCACCCGACCTGGGTTCAGTTGGTGGCACCAATACGGTGACTCACAGCTGCCTGTAGATCCAGCTCCAGGGATCTGACACCCTCTTCTGACCTTTATGGACTCCTGCATGCATGTGGGGTACATATATACATACATTCAGGCACACACACACACACACACACACACACACACACACACACACACTAATAATTTGAATAAGTTCTTTTTCATTTTCTTTGCAATGGTGACAAATATGGGAGGGATTTAATATGCTCTAATTTTCTTTTGCATTATGTAGTCTTACCAGTATTTTAGAAGCCTCCTAGGGCTGGAGGATGCTAAATATTATTTGAGAGATCAGCCAGATCGGCCAGGGCAATACTACTAGGGAATGAGGTGTGCATCCTGTTAGAGTTATTCATGAGGTTGCCAGTTGAGGTGTAATGCGGTGAGGGGGCAACTGGGTGAGGGGGTAACAGGGTAAGGGGTAACGGGGTGAGGGGGTAACAGGGTAAGGGGTAACGGGGTGAGGGGGTATAGACAGAGTCTCTGTCTCTCCTGGTACCTCGGTCATTTAGTCCCAAATAAACACACAGATACTTATATTAATTATAAACTCTTTGGCTGATGGCTCAGGCTTCTTATTGGCTAGCTCTCTCTTCATTATTAACCCATTTCTATTAATCTAAGTATTTCCTGTGGCCTTGGCTTAACGGAGAGTGCCCAGGCATCCTACCTTCCCTGTGGCTACATGGCAACTCCTGGCGGCTCCTCTCTACCGTCCTCCTCCCAGAATTCTCCTCGTCTGGTGGCCCTGCCTATACTTCCTGCCTGGCTACTGGCCGGTCAGCGTTTTATCCATCAATCAACATCATATATACAGAAGGACGTCCCCCATCAAGGGGAAACGGGGTGAGGGTCAATGGGGTGAGGGGTTACTGAGAGCTGAAGGGAAGCAAGACCTAGGGTCAGTTGGGGGGGGGTCTTGTAAGCCGCAGAGCTGCCTAAACTGAAAAAATGGCATCTGGGTAAATTACATGGGAAACGCTAGCAAAACACTTCCAAATCGGCTCTCACTACGAAACCCACAGACATGATGATGTTACCCCAAGGACACAACTCCTAAACAGCGAAGCCAGGCCTGCACCTAGGCCCTTCTTGCCCAAGTGGGTAGGATTTCAGCCAACAGTGCTCTGCATGAGGGCCCAGGAGAACTGAGGCCAGAGCTGTGTCTTGTGCTGTCCCTCTGCACCTCAGGCCCCTGAGCTTGTCTTGCTGTAGCTGTCCCCAGATTGTCCTCCTCTTGACATCTCCCCAGGCTGGCCGCCGTGGACGGTGTCCATGCAGCCGACCCGTTGAACACTGAGTCGGACATCCCCATCAAACAGCGACTCACAGAATAGGCTCGGTGTGGGGTTAGAAAGAGTGATGCCACCTGACTCCCTAATGTTGATGTCCTACGAGAACCCCAGGGACTATTCTGAGCCACTTCTATGTGACTGAGCTGCAGGGGACACTGGGCTTGTGCCTGGACAGCAAATGAGCTCAGTTATGCACGCAGGGTCCCAGTGAGGCTTTGCTCCAGGCTGGGGGTCTGTCTTACAGAGCGTGGAGGACGGAATACAAACTCAGACCTCCCCGACCTACTTTTCGTCTGTGTCATTCGCTGTTCAGGACAAGATAGCACAGGATGATACATGTCTTCACTTCTGGATTAAAAGTCTAGTCCCCCACAGCCCAGATGCCGTCTTTCTCTCCGTCTCTCCTTCATCCTCCAGCTTTCTCCTCAGCCTCTACTCCCACCAGCGTTGCTCGTGGAACTTGGGTGTGGTCTAATGTTATCTTAACTTCTTGTCTTGGAGCAGAGCAGCACTTCCCGGAGGTGATGCTGGGGGACGAGTTTCTGAGCTTAAGTCTGGACCAGGTATGCAGCTTGATATCCAGCGACAAGCTGACCGTCTCTTCAGAAGAGAAGGTACTGTGTCCTCTGGTGAAACATGAATCTTACTTTAAAAGTCCCTTTTAAATGAAAAGATGGAGGGGCCGTTACATTTGGAACCCCGCAAAGAAGTAACGAGGATGACAAGCTGCTTCTACTGGCTGGGCACGCAGATTGTCTCCTCGTCCTTTCCACCTTCGCTGTGCCCCCCCGCCCCCCCCCCCCGTGTGCGCATTGCTGTCCCCGTGTCACAGAAGAGAAGCACACATCAAATTGTCTCAGGAAGAATTTCTTTGTTGCAGGAGCCCGAGTCTAGGGTGGCAAACACCACAGGAGCCCCAGGTGTTACCCAACAGGCCACACTATATCTCCAGTTTATGCAAATTAGCTGTGTGATCTTGGGTGAGGCGCTTCCACTCTCTGATACTTTGTATCAGTCCCCCCCCCTAGGACAATGGCATCAACACCTCCCACCTGGTACACTGTGGGGATGAAACGGAATGATGTCTGATGGGATTCCTGGCAGGGAATCAGCATTAGCCAAGGTTATCTCCGGATGTAGGGTTAGTTGCTTCTTCTCATATCGCAGAAGAACACTCATGGTGTTCTGTCTGCTGTTCTTAGCTCCGAGATGGCTTACCCACAATGCAGTGGGGTTTCTCGAGCTGGGATACACATGTCAGGTATTTCCTTCATCCCCAGACAGTCTCATTTTTTTTTTTTTCTCCCCAAATCCTCTTAGAGTACTCAGTATTTGAGTGTCAGGCCCTTTCCTGAGGAAATATTCAAGGAGAAATACACACAGAGGAGTTTATATTGTGGCTCAGTTGTCCTGGGCCCCCAGGATATTTATCAGGTGATGGGCACAGCAAAGTAGATCCTCCCCTGGGCTCAGGGAGGGCTTGGCGGCCATTAGCACAATAGACACACCCTTCAGCGGGAAGTGTGTCCAGGCAGGTTTCAGGCGTCTCCCTACTTCAGCCCCAGAAGCCAGGGGGACACTTGTCCTTCCTACTAAGCCTGTTGTCTGTTCTGGCTGGATTTTTGCTTCTGGATCAACGCAACTAGAAGATATGAATCGTGCTGGCTAGTTTATGTCAACTTGACGCAAGCTAGAGCCTCAGTCGAGAAAATGCTTCCTTAAGATCTGGCTGTAGGCAGGCCTATAGGGCATTTTCTTAATTAGTGGTTGATGGGGCTGGGCCCAGCATGTTGTAGGTGGGGCCACCTCTGGGTTAGTGGTCCTGGCTGAGCAAGCTATGAGGAAGGAGCAAGCCAGTAAGCAGCACTCCCCTGCGTGAGTTCCTGCCTCCAGGTTCCTGCCCTGTTTCAATTCCTGCCTTGTGTCCCTCAGTGGACTTGTGGCTCAGGGTGTGTAGGCCTCATTTATTTACAACATTTCCTCTGCAACTTGCTTTTGGGGCAAGTTTCTAGAATCCGTGCCGGCTCCCCCTGTTCAGAAAGCTCACTGAGTCTGCTTGCTGTGGCCGGGGGAGGGCTGTTAGGGGGCAGATGCATCGCCAACTCTGAAAACACCAGAGTTTAGGATTCAGGAGAGCCTGGACCCAGTCTCTGCTTGCTGCCTGTGTAACCCTGGGAACTCTCCTGAAATCTAAAATAACAATGCCAAGAGCACCTCCCTCTGAGAGTTGGCATGAGGATTAGAAGGGACAGATTAAAAAAAAAAAAAAAAAACCTCTGCACTGTTCAGCCAGTGCTCAGTGAGTGCCATTTGTCAGCACAGCTCTGACCACAAAAGGAAGGAGACAGCTTATTCTGGAGCCAAACATGAGCAGCCATGGCCCAGGAATGCAGACCTAGGACGCCCCAAATACAGTGTTCTAACAGGGGAATGTATTGAAGTGTCTAAAAATATATATAGTAGCAAAACAAAGAAAGCTGTAAATCAACACACTTCTCAAACACATTGCTGGGAACGTTAGGTAGGTAGGTTGCAGCAAGGCTGAAGAGCTTCTGCTGTAGGCCTCAGATGCTAGCTGGTGACATCCTTGCCTTGGGTTGGTAAACACTAAAGGTCTGTTCATATATATTCCAGAAAAATGTACCCAAGAGTCACAGGGATGTCAGATTATACACACACAGGTGAGCACAAAATGGCTGGCTTTGTTTTTAAGATTCATTTAAGATGTGTATGGGTGTCTTGCCCATCTGCATGTCTGTGCACCACGTGTAGGCAATGCCCATGGAGGCCGGCGAGGGTAATGGGTTCACTGGAGCTGGAGTTATAGATGGTTGTGAGTCATCATATGGGTGCTGGGAATCCAACCCTGGCCCTCTGCAAGAGCAGCCAGTGCTCGGGATTGCCGAGCCACCTCTCCAGCTCTAATAAACGGCTCCTTAAGAGGCTAAGATAGCCCAAGAAAATTAGCTCTTCATCTGCTATATTTCAGCCTTTCCCTAATCATTTTGCCGAAGACCTAGTCAGTCAGCCTGGAGAATGGTCAGTGAGGGGCTGTCTCCCTTCTAGGAGCGCCAGCTACCACCATGTTGATCGCCACAGTCCTGTATTTTGAGGTACCGTTGTTAACGATAATGCAACCAACACGACAAAGTCCTGATAATGTTAAAATGTACCCTTGTGGGACGAGGTGGCTGAGCGGCTGAGCGCAGTGGCTAACTGCTAACAAGGCAGAGAAACAGGAGCATATGTCTATTGTCTCCCATTACTTCATGTCCTCAGGGGAGAGACGCTCCTTTAGAGTATGCATATGTATGTTCACACTGATGAAATTCTGCATATGAATCATCCCTGGAAATTGTGAAGACCTCCAAATTTAGGGGACACCTTTTCTACAGTGAGTGGTGATGGTTGAGTGACGGTCTACTTGAGTAGATTAAGAAGTGCCTGTAGTGTTAATGTAACACCCGTGGGCTTGTCTGTGAGGACTTCCCCAGGAGGAATAGCCAAGGAGAACACCCATCCTGACTATGGCTGGCAGTAGCCCTGTGGTCTGGGTCCCCAGGGTGAACAAAAAGGGGGTGGGGAAGGCTGAGTGCCAGCATTGGTTACTCTCTATTTCCTGTTCCACGGAGCTGTGAACCAGCAGACTTACCCAGTCATGATGGGCTGTACCCTCAAACTGTGGCCCAAATGAATCTTTTCCCCTTAAATAGATTCTTGTCAGATATATATTTTTTTGCACTAATGAAAGGAGTTAATACAGAAAATTTGTATTAAGAAAACTCGTCACTGTTGCAATAAACCTGACATTGGGCTGGGGGCTTTGGAACTAGTCTGCATGGGTAACGTGTAAGAGTTGACAGCTTCAGGCTAGCATACTCCTGGGACACTGTGAGCTAAGGCCAGTGGGCCATGTGGTCCAGAAATTTCAGGGAGCAAAAGGGCTACATGGGGAACCAGGCTGTAAGACATTCTTGGTCCGTTCTGGCAAAGAATCTGGATGCTTTCTGCCTGTGTCCTGAGCATGTGAGTGAGACTAAATTCACAAGAAAAGGACTGAGTTGTTGGGAGGAATCAATTCCAGAACAGCAAAAACACCCAGGCTGTGGCATGGTTGCTGCTTGCTGCTTTAATTAGCTTTACAGTGTGTGTGTGTGTGTGTGTATGTGTGTGAGCGTGTGTGTATGTGTGTGTGTGAGAGTGTGTGTGTATGTGTGTATGTGTGTGCATGTGTGTACTTGCACACAAGTATGAGAGAAAAAGAGAGAGAGAAGGAATATGGGAAATGTATAGCTTGGTGAGGAAAGGAATATGGCTGCAGCTAAACATGTAGACAGCACAGACAAGGCAGGTGTGGGCGTGGCAGTGGGCGTGGCAGTTCTGTTGAAAAGATTGGTGTAATTTAGGACATACCTCCCACATTTGGCAATTGGGGAGTAGAAAATTGCCTTAAGAGCAATACCCCACCCACTGGAAGCCTCAGGATGTAATAGTAAAAATGTGTTTATAAACAACAACAGCAACAACAACAGTTAGAAATAGAATGCCTGAATCCAGACAAGGAGGGCCGCCTGAAGAGGCAGTTCGCAGGTTCAGCAACAGGGGCGCGTGGACTATAGCTGTTGCCCTAGGGACCAGGGGACCTCATGAGGCAGCAGGAGACTTTGATATTCATGGTGCTGGTCATGGAGGCGCCCAAGGTGTCAACGTGAGGAAAGTTTCAAGGCCAGGCCACCTATAGCGGGACTGGATTCCCCGCATGGGGAGCACCCGAGAAGGCTCGGAATGACGCTGAGGTCAAGCCCAAGGTGCAATGGGCATCCCCAACTGGAGATGCCAGAGAAGCAGGGCAGGGGTGAGGGAAGGTGCAGGCACCTAGTGGAGCTGACTGGAGAGAGGCCACAGCCGCAGCACAGTGTTGCAAGGCAGGGGCTGCTCACATCAGCGGTAATGCCAGGGCCCTGACGCAGCTGTCTTTCCCGGCTGAGTTTTGCTCTTCTCTGGTCCCAGCTTCATTACCAGCCTCCCGTTCCTCTCTTTTGGGATGGGATTGTTTAGTCTGTGACGTTTGGATGATATGAGACTCTCAGGGCTGTGGATGGCAAGCTCGGGATTAAAGTGGTGTATTTGGGTATTGAGTTGACAAGGGGGTATGCTGGTGATGGTAAACTTGGACTGTGAAATGGTTTAAGAAACTCCTAGTCTCAGGGCATTAGTGAGGCAAATATTTGGGTGTGTCTGGGAGGAGTTTTCCCAGGAAGGATTAGTTGAGTGGGAAGACACACCCTGAACGAGGATGGCATCTTCCTGTGGGCTAGGATCCCAAAGGGGAGGAGGGAAAAGCCGGCTGAGTGCCTGCTTCCTTTTCTCTCTGTTTCCTGGTCTGTGAGGGTGTGAGCAAGGAGCTTCATGTTCTTCAAGCTGCTGCTACTGCCATGCCTTCAGACTTACTCTCCTCAGACCATGAGCCAGATAGGTTAACCCTCCACTAAGTCATTTCTTATCAGGGATTTGGCCACGGCAACATGAAAAGTTATAACACAAATATTATCTGTTTCTTTGATTGTATTAGTATATTTAAGAGCGAGATTTACCAAAAAGAAGGATTTGGGGG